GGAGTTGAAATAGAAGATCGACTGCGCTGGCGATACGGCTTCGAAGCGCCCTCCGGGTCTATGTGTTTAATGTAATTAGGATTTCGGGCTGATTTTGAAGCTTTGGCGCATCGACGTAGGGGTATATGTTTTCACAGTGTTGTAAGCCTCGTCTAAATTTGGGTTGTAGGACATTTCTTCGGAGTGTTGAGTTGCAACGCTGCGCATAATGGGATGTGTTCGAGGGCGGACAAATTTTGTGTCATATTCGTTCAACACTTCTTTGTGGACTAATCTCGAGTCTTTCGCCTGCTGCGCAAAGGATGCTGATAGCATCGACATTTGCACAGTTAAGAGCAACGCGAGGAATAGGGTCGTGACAATCGTAACACTAGGTCGCGGGTCTGCTGGGGAGGTGGGAAGGAAAAGACAATATATCATGACATGGCCTGGACTGAATAGACAGAAGAGTCGAAGAGACAGCGGGCGGGGATCCCACATTCCTATCTCCCAAACGTCCTGCTCTGCGCTCGGATGTGCTCTTGCTTCCGCCGACCCAGTTGACATCATCTTGGATAAAACTCGCAACGGTGGCGAAACCATGGGCGACGAGTTCACTGGTACTCGATGCGCAGACGGCGTGGCCGGAGCGGTATCTATCGATGCTTCGAACAGCCGATAATGGCGTTTGCGCCAGAACGTGTAGAACGCGTTCAAAACAGATGTATATGCTAAGAGGTGAACGACGAAGGAAGCCTATCGCAGCGTTAAAAGATATATCAGCGCGAAGTTCACATATACCAACGCCTACAATAGAGACAGGTATTTTAAGGGGTGAAGGGACTAGATCAACATACAAACCAACTGAACCAACTAGTCCGGACAACTTCTCCAAAGACGTCATCCCCGATCCTGCTGCTGCTGGTACAGCTATTTGCGCGTGCTATGAGGAACACCACATTTAACCCAATCCCCAAGGGGGATCGCCCACTCCTTCTCCCATTGCTCCCAGTCACTCGAATCAAGCTCTTCAGACAGCCACAGTAGGAAATCGAGGGGGTTGAGGTACGATTTTATTCGTTCCATGAGCGGGCGGGCGTCGAATTAGAGGCGGCATTGTGAGTGGGATATTTCGCAGCAAGCTCTAGACCCTGGTGGTCGGATATATCGTTGCTATCTGAAGCTCATCCAACAGG